TGGATCAGGTTCTGGAGTGGAGTGGATCAGGTTCTGGAGTGGGTCAGGTTCTGGAGTGGATCAGGTTCTGGAGTGGGTCAGGTTCTGGAGTGGATTATTTTCTATGTATACTTTATATAATTATAATAGAAGTACAAACACAGAGAATATAGTACTAAAATATATACGTGTGTAAATGATTGTACGAGGATGAAAACTGTAATAAGTATTAGTACAAGGAGATATGTAAATAGATGTATACAAACGTGTATATATAAACTCTTGAATGTTTATATGCAGATGTACAACATGAATACATTTTGATTTTCTGATCTGAGCGACTACATATCCCATCAGGCCTTGGGGCTCCTCAGGATCGACCAGGAGGAGCTGGAGAATGTTGCTGAGGAGAAAAACATCTGGAACCGACGTTTTATTATGATAGAGACATTAACCTGTCAACATCTGCACCAGCAACACATCAGGACTTCATGGACTGTGGGACGAGTCCAGAGGAAAGACATGAGGACATGAAGCTTCACACTGAGCAGTGAAGAGTGAGGGAAGAGTGAAGAGTGAGGGAAGAGTGAAGAGTGACCTGCATCATGGTGGCTGTGGCTGAGCGGTAGAGCGGTCGTCCAAGTTCGATCCCCGGTCTTCCCATCTGCATGTCAAAGTGTCCTTGGGCAAGATGCTGAACGCCAACCTGCCCAATAGAACAACAAAAAGTGCTATAGAAGCACTGAATGAATGAATGTGTGTGTGAATGTGTGTGTGAATGGAAAACTGTAGTGTAAAGCACTTTGAGTGTTCTTCAAGACCAGAAAAGCTCTTTATAAATACAACCATTTACCATTTACCTGCTTCAGCTTTGTCCTTTGTTTCGTTGACGCTGAAGCTTCATGTACAGATTCGACAACACGTCGACGTCGATGTTATTTTCACGTCGGCTCAGCTGAAGCAAAGTTTCCAAACGTTTCCTCATGATGAGAAGAAAAATGCGTCTTTGATTCCACGGAGCTGAAGTTGCATCACAGGCTTATTAAAGCCGTGGACGCTGCACAGACTCACACACATCAACTCATCACAACACTTTTATAGGATTCGAGCCTTCACACAGCAGCGTATAAATATTTACCTGCAGAGCGTCTGACTCCATCTGTCCGGCGCCGCTCGGCCCTCGTCGGTTTCCCACCGGGAGCCGTGAAGACGGAGCAGAGATCCGGGCTGACCGAGACTCTTATTAAAACAATGAAGCTCATAATTATCCTGGAATTCCAAAGCAGTGCTATAGTTGTAATGAGGCCACACAGGAGCCGGCTGATAAAGAATGAATGTCATAAATAAGCCATTAGACGGGCAGTAAAAAGAGGAGGACGTAAAAGAAAAGACAACAACGCTGAAATGAGTTCAGACACGTCTTGTTGTCTCTTGATGAGCATTTGAAGAAGTTTCTATTTTCAACGTTTCTTCTGTTGTGAGTCAAACGTGTCACATGTCAAACTGAAACTGGAGCGTCCCACATGGAGGACATTCCCATCAGCTGCTTTATTGTCTCTGTGGTCTGTGGACCTGTTTCATGGACGTGGACCTGAAAGTAAGAAAAGACCCTTTGAATTAATTTAATTTAATTTTTCCTCCTCATTGGTTCAGATCGTCCGAAATCTCCAACTTCACCAGTTGTGACGTTTGTTGACGACGTCCAATTATCGGGGACAAAGGACAAAGGTGTAAAAAGTGATTTTCCTTTTAAATATCCAAACAATTTACAAAAGTAGTAAAAAATAAACAATAAGGGACAAAGTTAAAGACGTCGAAACGACTTCACTTTACAAACCACACACAGTTTATATATACACACACATACACAACAATAACTACACAAATAAACTATCAACACACAAACACAAACAAACATTCAAAATAATTAACTGAAAAAAAATAGGAATAATAACAAAGTCCAATAAAGAAGTTTCCCCCCCTTCAATCTGTCTTTGGTCTCTTCCACTTCCTGTGGGCTGGGCTTAAAAGATCACTTCCTGCAGGCTTCAGGCCTTTAGCCCTGTGAGCAGGGGACAAACGAGGGGTGAGTGTTTTATATAAATATATGATTAAACAGATCGAATATTAACTGTCCCATAAATAAAGACGTTCTCTGAACAAAGCACCGAGTCGTGTCTTTCCTGGGCTGAAATGTAAATGTGACAAACTGAGCAACAACCAACACCAACGTGTCTTTAGTCTTCAGAAGATAAATGTTTCCAATGTTTTGTTGTTTAGACTTTTCTAAACATTCGCAACTGAATTTACAAGCGTCCGCTGCAGTTTCTTCTTTTATTCTTGTTTTATTCTTGTTTTATTCTTGTTTTATTCTTGTTTTATGTTTTATTCTTCATGGTCCTTGAATCCAGAGACGTTCCTCATAGATCAACAGATTCTTTATCTGGACTCAACGTTCTTTCTCTCCAGGTTTTTCTCTAATCAAAGGGACAATGCAGGATTTCTAACGTATGAATAATATATTGACAACAGTTGTGAATTGTTTGTTAGCAGGATTTGAACCTGATCTGTCGGCACCATGATCTTGTGATGTGGCCGTCTCCTCCTCTGCTTCATGAACAGATTATTTAGACTTGATCGTGACCTTCGTCCATCTTTGCTCTTTAAAGTGCGATTGCTTGTTTTTTTCCTGCATCGGTTTGTTTCCTCGTCGAAGCTGCCGATGTAAACGAACAGTGTGGGTTTGACACGTGAAGATTATTGAGTCATTTAAAACTGTAGTGTGATGGTTTTAACATCAGTTATATTTCCTACAGATTAGATTCTTCATATTTGTTGTTTTTGTGTTTGTCATCAGGACCTCGATACCACAGCTCCACGATCACCACTGACTCCGACTGCAAATACACTCATCACCACAAGATGGCAGCGTTTGTATCGGAGATATTCTGGCTTAAGTTCTAAAGGAAATGCAGATGTTGATCTTTATTTACAGACGTCGAGGTTTATTTACATGTTTATTTACAGATGTTTATTTACAGTTAGTGTTTATTTACAGTTAGTGTTTATTTACAGATGTTTATTTACAGTTAGTGTTTATTTACAGATGTTTATTTACAGA